ATAATATACTGTAAAATTTAAGGCTTTGATTTTGATTCTGCTTGAGAATTGTTATAGCAAACGAGGTCTGTATGCAATTTGGATGGGTATTTAGATGCTAAGTTTCGATAACATCCCACTTCAATTCAATAGTATAAATTTACGAAAGCATTTTACAGTCCATGACCTCATCAAAAGCATTTGTAAAATTGTCGGTCAATTACACCAGGCATTTATGCAAGATAGAATTCCCTAATGGTGTGTTACACTAGTGTACTGTATACAGGATGCGCTTGAATATTGTGTGGTTGAATGGTTGTGATCAGTGGAAGAAAAAGATTCATTAAGACCATTGAATACAATTTTTTTTTTTTTTTGCTGGCTTCTATTACTTTTCTTGGTTATTCACAGTTCAGAATTCCCAGAAAGCAATCAAAATTTTCCTGTACATTTTTTTATGCGAGAGTTCTAGTAGACTTAACTATTACACTTGACTTCCTATGGGAGGTGTATGCACAGGCATCCTTGAAAAGCCCTTAAATTAAGGGCCGTCAACATTAAAGATATTAAAAGCATTTATATACTTTTAAATTGTCATAAGACCATGTAATCGAAGTATTGTTTAGTACGAAATTAATTAAAATTTGCTTAGAAGTAAAAAGATTTCCGACATTTCTACCTAGCACTTATTTAATATAGATGTGTATAAGAGACAGGTATACTGGCATATACCCATAGCATACAGTAAGGTAGTTTACAGCAATTTCAACTTATAGTTTCGCAAGTCTACTGTCTGTTGGATATAAATTAAGTATGAGATAACGATGATAATTATTTCTGATTGGTTGCTATACAAACAAGGATTATCTGTATTCGTTTGGCTAGTCATTGTATTATTATTAGGTGATACTTTTTTTGTCTATGGCCCCTCGGGGGCTTGACACTATGTTATCGTCTAGCAGTTAACCCAGTAAGATTTAGTAAATCCGGTATGCAGGAATGATGGGATGAGTCAAGAGCAAAAGATAAAAATGAATATAAGACCTGTCCTAGAAAGTTCACTAAAAAGTCACTTCAGTAACACCACACATTTAACCGAATCCCCATGTGGATACCGTATTAGTAAACATAATACCTGTACAGTAAGGCAGTATAGGGCATAGACACATGCTCCCACTGGGAGCCTATTTTTGAGTTACACAGGGATTAACAGGGATGGGGTTAAGGCAAAAAAGGGATTAAATAATGGTGATGAATGAGTATTTTACCACACTGTATTTGGAAGGAGAATCACTTTCACTACAGGAATTCACTAACAATAGCCTGTAAGCCTCATTTAATTGCCTTTAGGTTGATGGGACATTGGATCCTTTTAGTAATGCTTGTTCCTGGTCAATATTAGCAGAAGATCCCTAAATGGTGCCCTTTCTGAGAGATGACCTGGCTACTACAGTACTAAGCCCAACACCTGATCCCAACCCCAGAAAAATCCCTTAACAATTATTGGCAAGTAAAATTACCCCTAAACTATTTTTCAATAGATTGTAGAAATGTTATCATACACCTAAATTTGTAGTCTACTCAGTAGATAGATTTATAAAAACATTTTATCTTTGTTGTGTTATGTGGTACAGTAAATCTAATTTGAAAAAATGTTCCATGACATCGTAATAATAGAATATTAGTGTATTTTATTGTGTTTTTACTGTAGCTGATGCAGATTTGTGGTGATCAGTTTATTTGAACATTTTTTCAGTTTCTTTTGTAGTATAATATACTGTAAAATTTAAGGCTTTGATTCTGCTGAGAATTGTTATAGCAAACGAGGTCTGTATGCAATTTGGATGGGTATTTAGATGCTAAGTTTCGATAACATCCCACTTCAATTCAATAGTATAAATTTACGAAAGCATTTTACAGTCCATGACCTCATCAAAAGCATTTGTAAAATTGTCGGTCAATTACACCAGGCATTTATGCAAGATAGAATTCCTTAATGGTGGGTTACACTAGTGTACTGTATACAGAATGCTCTTGAATATTGTGTGGTTAAATGGTTGTGATCAGTGGAAGAAAAAGATTCATTAAGACCATTGAATACAATTTTTTTTTTTTTTTGCTGGCTTCTATTACTTTTCTTGGTTATTCACAGTTCAGAATTCCCAGAAAGCAATCAAAATTTTCCTGTACATTTTTTTATGCGAGAGTTCTAGTAGACTTAACTATTACACTTGACTTCCTATGGGAGGTGTATGCACAGGCATCCTTGAAAAGCCCTTAAATTAAGGGCCGTCAACATTAAAGATATTAAAAGCATTTATATACTTTTAAATTGTCATAAGACCATGTAATCGAAGTATTGTTTAGTATGAAATTAATTAAAATTTGCTTAGAAGTAAAAAGATTTCCGACATTTCTACCTAGCACTTATTTAATATTTATTATAAACGCATGATTTAATATAAATCTTTCTAGTAGCAGTAGTAGTAGAAGTTAAAAACCTGGAGTTATTAAATACCATTGAATTGTCATTAAAAATACAGTTATTTCTGTGTTTTTTTTATGATGGCAAACTGTTTAGAACATCCCTTGGGTATGCATAATGTAGTGACTAATGGAAAAGGAATGTTTAGTGGCTGTTGATTTTCTATTTTATGGTGGTATTATTCATTCCAATCAGGCATTTTATACAGTTACTGGTTTTCTGTATAATTTTTAAACCACAATATCCTTTGAATCAGAATTCTTATTGAAAAATAGTTTTGACTGACATGGTACAAACTCATTGATATAAGCCTGAACAAAAGTATCTAAATAAACAAGAAATATCTCCTATAAAAAACGCTGCAACATCTTTAACTTATACTGTAGGATTGGTGTAACAATAGCCACTGTGTTATTGACATTGCGGTCGCATGGTTAAAATAATACAAATGCATACTATCAGTACTGTACATTAGAAATGTGGATGTTATCCTGTAGATAACAAAAATCCAAAAGCTGTGTTTTTAGGTGTAGTATCCAAAAGTAAAAATGAAAAATTATAAGATATAATGGTTTATGGTTAAGACCTGTAGAAAGGTGCTTAATTCCTTTTCGTCCCACTTTCTTTGTGTTTGGAAAAAATCATCATCATCATAATTATCACCCTGTCTCTTATACACATCTAGATGTGTATAAGAGACAGGTATTTAACTATATTGATTTTTTTATCTTTTAATATTAAATAATACTTCACTGAAGTAGGTGTTTTATTTATTTTAAGAGAGTTCACATTTTTATGTTATTAGTATAATAGCATCGTTCCTTCATGCATAGTTTATAAATGTCATCTATCTGGGCAGGAGATAGGAAATCCTTTATGCTTGGCTACCATACATACATAATTATACTCAGTAATTAAAGGGTGTGATTAGATCAATAGTAGGCTGAACTCAAGCATAGCTGGCTGATCCTGCTCTTTCGTGTAAATCTCCAAGCCTGTGCGAATGTAAGAACCACAACATCACAGCTTGTCGTCATCTTCTGGATGCTTGCATTCAGGCCTGTGTGTGAGGAAACTAGAAATTATATTGCATTGTGGATATAGCTAAATTCGCCTTTATTGATTTACTGTCTGGTGATGAGGAACAAGATTCTTTATGATTGGCACAATTTGTGTGCAGTACTTAAATCTGGTTTTAATTCACTGTCAAAATATGGGATAATCATACTGTAGTTGAGCTTCTTTAGATACCTATTGTAGAAATGACAAAGAATGATTTAAAATTTAATAAATTTCTAAGTATTAATTATCATGCATATTGCTTAAAAGCAGATGCACTTCATATACAAAAATATTCTTGCAACCATTACTTGTTGTTACTATTTTTGTAAATACTTGGGAAAAGTACATAAATCCCAAGAAATTGCCTACTGTAAAACTAGGAGAAATGCTTGGACCATGGACAAAGAGCTACAACAATTTTTACCAGTAGTTTAAAATGTGCTCAGATGATACATCTGTTGAAAAGATTAGATTAGCTTTGTGGTTTATGTAATTATGTTCACAACTCTCTTTGCAAGCCATATTATTGTATTTGTACAGTAGACCTGTGCGTAAGCGTAACCATAGTTGTGCTAATATATTTAAAATGTAAATCTGAATATAGTATACAGCCTCGGAACAACAACAATTTCAATTGACCAAATGAAAAGCTCTGTCCATGATTTGCCATAATGTTTTCATTCACTAAGTGGCTATCGAAATGGCTATAGGCTATCATCAACTCCTTTGGCAAGGCTGATTGGTCAGTTTGAATTATGGTGCATTACCAATTACGTTGGGGACAGCTAAGCAGTGCAAGGATTGCAGTGAAAATGCTGTAGCGACTGTAGTGATTTTATGGAAACCAGGCTTAAGTGTGGACAGATATAAAAAAATTTTGTTTTATTTATTATTTGGTTGTAAAGTGCAAATGGCAAACTTCATTTTTAACTACTTACAGTATGCTTCACACATAATAAAGAGTTCCACACGTAAAAAGATATATGTAATGCCAAATTATTTTGATGATGTATTATTTTTGTTTTTGTTTTGCAGGATGAGGAAAGTACTTGAAGACCGTAGCAATACAGATGATCTAAAGGTAAATAATGATATATTAAATAAAACAAAAATTATATTTAAAATATTAGTGCACTCTCCAATTTGAGACCTAATTTCCAAGAGTCCTCTAATTCGAGACCACTTTTTCAAAGAACCAAATGGAAATCTTCAATCTTTTAACACAAAGTTAACCCATCTAATTGGAGACCGAACCCCTAAACAATCCCAAATTTTCAGTTTTGTTTAGATTTTTGGAGATTAACTTCCATTTTTCATATTTTTGATACATATAATTTTTTTTTTAAATTTGTAGATTACTGGATTGGAAGAAAGTGTTCAGAAATTAAAGGAGCTAGCTGAAGAAACTGATCGCAAATTTGAGGAGGTAACAATCAATGAGTTAACATGGTAACCATAGAATGATTACAAGAAATAGATGGACTGATAAGAATACTTTTTCTAGATAGAAGGGAATTCAATGGTTTTACAGTACCACCTGCTAATGATGAACTGATAATTCAGCCTCTTTAAATAAAAATAGGCATCGATGTAATCTCCTTTTTTATAGTTAAAAAACATGTTTAGTCCAGCAAAGATATGAAAACAGTTTTTATTTAATTTTTATTTAAAAAAAATGTTTATTTATTAATTATTTTTTTTTAAGTTTTTTTTTTATAAATTTTTATTTTCATGTTTACACAATTACTCTTTTAGATTAGACTTTAATTATACCTTGCTTCAAAAACTTATCTGGCAATATGAATGATGGTTAGTATGTAATAAATTTGGCCTCTTGGTGCATCTGTCGCCATGAAAAAAATAGAAATTTTGGAAAAAATCATCATCATCATAATTATCACCTGTTAATATACTGTAGTAGCAGTTCCTTTTCTGTAACTTTGCTTACCTATGACTCTACACTTAGCTTCTAATTACCAATTGTTATGAATGTGTGTGAAATTACAATTGTTTTATTTATCCCTGCTTGCCAGGTGAGTAACAAGAATAGGATCTATGAAGCTGAGAATGATAAGTTAGATGAACAGGTTTGTTCTTTGAAAAGGTGAGGCTAACAGACATGTTTGGTGTTTTCTGAGGGCTGACTGATATGATAGATAGATATTATTTTCACGGTCATGCAAAATAATTCACAAATATTATTAGCTGGAGAAAAATTAATTGTTAATAGTGAACATTGAAAAGTCATGTGGATAGTATATAAATTTGAGTTGAGTTATTAGACCTCAAAATGATATCTGTCAATCCAGCTCAGTCTTTGCCTTCATTAAATGTCTTGAGTAAACACACACAAACATTCATACTATTTTAAACGCAGGTTCAAAGAAAATTGACAGTAACTGAAGGTGAATTGGAACGTACTGAAGAACGAGCCAGTCAAGCGGAAGGGTAGGCTGTCATGTTGCTAGGTTTGGGTTGTTGAACCTCGACAGGCTCTCACGCTAGTTTTGCATGTGCTCTTATTCCGTGTTTTTATAGTGATTGTTCCGTTGAACTAAAACCGGTGCAGCATGGACACGCTTGAGAAATTAGTCACGATAACACCAGTTTCTGTTTTTAATCCATGGAGTTACCCAGCAGTAAAGTACTTCACATACTACCCCCTCCTCATTAATATATACATTATCATCAGTCCTTTTTTGCAGAAAAAAACTGTTGGAGACAACTGACTAATAGGAGTTTGTTCTAATTTTTCTTACCCATCTTGCATGCTATGATATCTGGGAAATATAACATACATTTGCCTTTTGGAATCGCCTACTTCTCCAGGAAGAAATAAACTGTTTATGTAATTTTTATACTCACCCTTACATTTTAACCCTACAAGCTATCCCATAATTGTGTCCAAATGAGGAAGGAGGTATGCAGATCTGTTGGGAATGTGTCCATTTTAATCTACTTAATTTCGTTTACAGGATTGACAGAGAAGATGTATAATGACAAACAAAACATAAAGCATGATCTTCTGAATGAATAGTCAAAATAGAATTTACTAATCCGTAATATGTAAAACAGTAAATCAAGGATGACTTGGTGCAACTGCCATTTTGGTCACACATTGCAGGTGCCAAAGTTTGTTATTGGCACATTCTAATTTAGTTAAATTAACTCAATGGTATGTGTGTGCGTTGGAATATAGTTCACCTAATTTGCATCTTTCTTACAGCATCAAACGTAGAAATATTACTTAGTTCTAACAATGGTTTTTTTCATCAGTTTCATTTTAACCTAATCATAGATAATATTGTATTATAGATTAATGTATGTTTACCATTAAAACATATATTAAAAGTTGTATTGAAACTGATAAATGTGCTAATTTCGTCAACCTCTTGCTCGTAATATTTATAATGAATGTTGATGATGTCGATGAAATATAGGATATGATATTTAATATGAATCCCTGACAGGTTATTATGCCTCTCTGTATCAACTAAAGTATAAATTCATTGTTCGGTAAACATAGATTTAATTCTGTAGTATTTAAATGGTTGCTGTTACTTGTTTTATTAACTTGCAAAATTTTAGCAAATCTAACTGTGTAATATATACTCAACAGCAAAGTGCAGGAGCTGACGGATGAAACTTCACTGCTACAAAATCAAGTCAAGGAACTGACAAGGGCTGAGGAGACTGCCAGCGAGAAGGAGGACATGTTTGAAAAGAAAATTAAGGAACTTTCATCAAAGATGACAGAGGTATGTTTCCACAGTGTCTATTTTAAGAATTAACCCCTTTGAGGTCATCCTCTTCCCTTGCAAGTTAAGTCTCAAATGCTTTGGTACATATTCCTCTTCAGATAAGATTCAAATGGTTTAAGTAAATGGGATTCCTTTCTATATTGATATTAAGAGAATTACTCTCTTTTTGGGGTTTTTTTACGCCTTCCCAGTTCTTAAAATATTTACCATTAAATATTAAAAAATGTACTTGGTACCTTATACTAATTACTGTATAGTTAAATTAGTGTCAAGTTTATGTTAAATGTTACAACAGTAATGTATTTTGTTCTTTACCATATAGCTATTTTGTAAAATAATAAATTTATAATTTATCTCATTTCACTAGTCTGAGACAAGAGCCGAGTTCGCTGAGAGGTCCGAGAAGACGATCCGTGTCGCAATTGATCAATTGGAAGGTATGTTACTTGCTCTACCCCCAATCCCCTCACACTCTTATTTTTACGGTCATTCCTATTGTGTGTTTTACAGTAATAGGTATTATGTTAAAAATATCTAATTTGCATGTCTGGATCATTATCTTATTCCAGTAAATTCTTATAAAAGGTTGTTTTTATCAGAATTTACTAGAGGCAAATTTTTATTGATTTAGTAGTTATTCTCATTGGCGTAAGGTAGACAGGTGAATTTTATTCAGTGATAATCAAGCTGTGAAATTGAGAATGGTTGCCTTATTGTATCAACAATGAGTTCATTGATGTCATTTTTTTTATGTAAATGCACAGTGTGTAGTGTTTAGGTTTCACAATATTCTTATATATTTTTTTTTTTGCACTGCAAATTTTATATCTTATTTGTAATCTGAAAACCTTATTACTAGTGCTTGCCAGCCAATGTTATTGAAATCACTTTGAGCAAAGAAAACAGCTGAAAAGCCAATTCTAAAAAATATACAGCAAAGACAATTTTTCTCTTGGTCAATGTTCACAGGTCAAAGCAAAAACATGAGAAAAAATTTGCGAGCAGAATAGATTCACAATTGTTGCTATAGAAATCCAATGCAAACCATTAGTGATGTTAATAATAATGGTAATTTTATGGCAATAACTATTGTGAAAATATGCTATAAAAAAATGAAGCTAAACACCACATTTTGCATTCGTTGGATGCTTATCCACTTACATTCTGCTTCTGTATCTGACAGATCAGTACCAAATACTCAGAAAAATGACAATTTGCCGTAGGTGTAAAAAGCAAATTTTGGGACGACAGTAGTGAGTATGATCACTAAGTCGCTTGCTCCTGTGAACTTTGACCTTCTAATAACCTTATTTTTTTATTTGGTGAACTTTGACCCAACTAATTATTTGCAGTTTTTTTTATTTAAAAAATGATAATCTAACATAGTTTCTTTGAATATTTCGGTACTGTATACAATATATATATTTATCGCAAAATTTAAGTATCTTGCTGTGTTGTGAGGTTTGTATGTATAGTACATGAATGATTTTAACATATTGATTCTTAAATCGGTTCAAATGATGTGGTTCAGTAGATCGCTGTAACATTGAACACAGCAGCATATTTGTTAAGCTCAGATGTTTTAATTAGTGTAATGAAATTAAAGTTGTCAAGAGTATTGATTCATGTCAATGGTAATACTACTACTACCACCACCACCACTGTCTGTTTTTATCATTCTGTTTCTGTTATAGAAATTTATTTTGAAGTATGTTTTATAAAAAAAAAACAAAAAAAACTGATGTATTTTTATAGGTCTTCTTATGTTATGATTTTTCCCTTGTCTGTTTTTTTTCCCTTCTTTAATATGCTTTAATAAGAGCGTTATTGTAATGTATAATTGTCTTTGTGTTTCGAGTCGGGCCTCATTGACTGTTCATTAACAAGGCGATGTTAATGCACAGAAGGATTTCTAAGAAAATTGAAATGTTTGCTGACAATTTCTCCCATACCTGAAGGATGCGCTGTTTTTGCATGTTATGTTATCGTAACTCTGCTTGCTAACAAATTTCAACCTCTGATCTCTGCCATGAGGATTAGATCTAGTATTGACCGTAAGCTTGTCGTCAACACATGATAGGTTTGCATTTACCAATGAATCACTCCTAAATTATAATAGCATGTTACAAGATAAAATGGCCTGGTATGCTAATTGTAGCATCCAACATTGTCTTCCTTTACATGTTGTTGCCATACTAGGACTATCTCTCTCTTTCCCCAGTATTCTAGGCATGTTCATTTCATTTGTTGAAGGAAGTATTACATTTAGTTTAGTCTTGGTTCATGCTAATGTAGTATATAATAAATTTAAAAAATGAAAAAAAAAAAAATGTAGTGATCACTTAGGACTTAAGGACCTTATGGTATGAAAATGTTAAGCAAAGCAAGACTTCCACATTACAGTGAAGTAAGTAGAAACTAAAAGGAGCTTTTGCAAAGAGAATTTTCTAATATATTACCTCCTCAATTACTATTCATTTCTACCAGCAGTAATTATCTTTAAGGCAAAGCCGACAATAGTGAAGCTTTTATGATTATTATTCCTCAAATTTTGATTAGATGCTTAAAAAAAGTAATGATTATAATATGTAGATTAGTACTAGGTTACAGTATATTACCAGGCTATTAAAAATATAGTTCAATGAACGATTCATGTAAGAAACCAATTAAAGTATCAATATGATATTTTCTGTGACAAAAACTATATTTCATTAGTTTAAATGCATGAGACTTATCAAAATCAGGAATTCTTCTCTTACTAAATATTGCGTGCGGCTATATATTGTTATACTGTGACCTAAACGGCCCTACATTAACAATAGCAAAACTTACTGGTAGATGTATTTCTCCACTAAGCGAATTAAAAATTCCCAGCAAAGTATTGAGCCCATCCCTTATGATTTTTTCCCACATGGTATGAAATTAAGTTTGTAGCTTTCTTCATATTGATCAATGATCATCATGCATCCTGATTCTTTGCAAATATCTGTTTGTCAGATAACTGATATTTTCCATTTGTCAGATAAGTGGTCCTATTTATTGGAATTTCCTAATATCCTCAATCAAGATACCAATCTTACCCAATATCTTGCTCCTTATAATTCTGTATTTTTGTGTGTGTGTGTGTGATTTATTACATTGTTTTCGTTGTGCTAACTTCTTTGTGGTGGTTTTTAATAAGGATTCAATCTAACATAAACATTTTTTTTAAAATAAAGATTATGTAACCTAGTTTTAACTAGATACTGAAGCAAACAAAATAGTTTATTATTTTGCATTTACTTGAATGAAGTCCGAATGGATTGAAATGAAATATTAATAATAAATACTCTTAAGAATAATATAGTGCAGAAAATACACACATACATATCTTACTCTCACAAATGCATATGATTATTTGAATTTAATAAAGACATCAACATAACATTTCTAACATCTTATGGTTAGTGATGATATTTGAAAGTACTTTCTTTATAAAAATTTCTTAGTTCACTATTAATTTGTTGCAATGCATACAAAGGAAGTTTTTTTAATTAATGGATACTGTTGGTCTCTCTTGATCTTTCCCTTATCCTAGCTATATGATATGACTTACATGGACCAGCTTTTTTAATTTAAAAAAAAAAGTTTTCCCAACAATTTCATTCCATTGCATGTTTATGTGAACATGACTTTATTATCTGCTACCATGACAAAATATAATGATTTGAAAATTAAGCCCAGAATATGCACGCTAAATTGTATTGATATAAATTATAGCTGTCAAAATACGCCTACTATTGATATATGCATGAATTAGTGGAAAACTCACAAACACCCAAACTCTGCATGGTGTGATCTTAGATATAGGTTTTAATATGAGTGTTTCTTGAAAGAAAAAGATAAAAAAATAACTTCAAAATTAAAACTATGATCTGGAATTTTCAAGATGAACGGCACAAGACAAAGGTAAAAACTTTGATTATTCCGTGTGACAAAAATATAATAAATTTTATCATAAATTAAGCAACTGTTATCACAAATTTAGAATAATTTATGTTGTAATCTACCTGTATTCAGCAACGTTTAATTATAAAACAAAGATTAAACTTATCCATGGAATTGCATTTGTAAGGTTGTTATGTGCATAATTTAATAGGATAATATTTTACCTCCCTGATGGAAATCATTCTTTAATTAGAATAGGATGAAGAAAATTCATGGCATTGACAATAGATAATAGGTAATGCATTTAATTCTCATAGTTATTTAAATTTGGTACTATAAAATGGTAATAGATAAGGTTGACAGCATAAATTTGCTACAATATTTTTTTTCATCAAATGAAGTAATCCATAGTTCTTTAGCAACAATAAGTATAATGTACAAACAGTTCCATGTTAGTTCATAATAGTTCCTTATAAACTAAATGCATACTGAATAGAAGTACAACACAACAAATTAGCAAAGTAAAACAACTATAATTATAGTAGTTTCAAATAAATTCATTATTTTTTGTTAGAAGATATTTCTTTAAAAAAGAATGTTAATGGTTGTAGAGGATTTGTAGTTGAGGATCGGTAGCTTGGTGCTTTAAGGTGGATACCTTTCAATCCATTTTATTGGGTGTAAGTCATGTAAAACAAAAATTTAAAAAAGATTTTTTTTTTTTTTTGTAAAATAGCTTCACTTCCTCATCCCATTTTAAGGGTCGCAAAGAGTTGGTACATTTTAACTGGACTAAGTGAAAGAATAGTAAACATTCAGTTGTTTTTTTGTTTTTTTTAACTGGATTATAAAAAGAACCTAGAACATTTCTTTATTAGTTTATACTTAATAAATTCCTCTTTGAATGAAAATTTTAAAAAATATAAGAAATAAGTCAATACTTGAGGAACCGTACCAAAAGACACGCATTTATCCCAGTAATTTGTGTTTGACAATTTGTATGTGGAACGGTGAGGCATTTTCAAGTCTTGCATTCCAGAATCTGTTCTTGCTATAATCTACTGTTCATATTATATAATATAATTATTAATAATAACACATATAGATGCCTAACTACTGATTAATCTGATGCTGAATATATGCATAATTATAATGATTGACATTTATATTATAATAATATTATCTTGTAATTTGTATATATTGACCAATGGAATAATTAATTTATGTACTGTATTATGCATACAGTTCACACCAACTGAACAAGTTTGTATGTTTTGAAGGTTTCTCCAATTGTTCAAATGATCAGATACCCATTGCTACCAGAATGCTTGGAATAAGTTAAAAATCATTGGCCCATTGGAATTAAAATTGTGTCCCACCTGGTTACATTCCAAGCTTGAACTGGTCAGCTTGCATAGTTTTAGTGACGCACTAGTTTTCTTCATTTTCTCTCTCATCTTCTCAATGACAAAATGACATTCATAATCTCATTATGCAATGTATAAATATTTGATATCAGAAATTTGCCAAATGTTTGATGCAATGGAACTGGATGTCATTCACTCAAAAAGAAACAGTTTCTATAACCTGCTTTATACAAATAATAATGTAGAAACCGGTTTTGTGGCTTGTGAATTTAGCCAGACAATAATAATATACAATTTATGTTCATAATTATATATAAAAAAGATACTATATTGTAGCCAATTGTGTATATTCATAAACATATGGGGATATGTAGTATAATAACCATAAGCAAACATGCTCATATTTTAAGCACCATCTTTTTCCCTTATAATAAAGTAGTGATCATATTGTTGGGATATATAGAGTTTCATTCAGTTTGTACTGTCTTATTGCATTTGATAAAAAAATGACATTAGAGAGCAAAGAAAAACATAACAAACACTTTCAGAGATCGACATCCACAACCATGAGAATGCTTCTTTCTTGAGTATGTCTAATCCAAACCGTTATCCAGATGACATCCAAGTAATTGGCTTGATGTCTCATTTTCTGTGAAATAGCAGCTAGTGTTATGGTCCCACAAAGTTCTTTTAATCCCACTTTCCATCACTTTTTATTATAAGTTTACTATAAAAATAATACCTGCCACAATTTCTCAGTCTTTTTTTTAATTATTGGTTCGTGTCATTGCCTTCTTTCTCCTTCCTCTGATTCTACCTTTCACATTTTTACTTCATTAAATTGATTTTATATTTTTATCTTTATTCAGAAATCATAATTATAATTATATATGTTATTATTCAACAATAATATTAATTAACTTTTAAAAATTAAACATTTGATTCAAAATCACTGTCTGGATGTCAGTTACAGTTTCATCAAGTTTTATTTTTCATTTCATTCAACAGAGGAGCTACAAACAGAGAAACATAAATATGTTACTGTTAAGAACGAATTGGATGCATTGTTGTTAGAAGTCAATGAGATGTAAATAAAGTAAGTCACTTTTTTTTTTATTCAGTGTTTGCATTACTGTTGTTTTTTAGAAAGTAAAATCATAAAATCGTTCTGCACACTTTAAGACTAAGGTTAAGATTTAAGATTAAAGTGTGTGCTTAGCTGTGGATATCCTTTCTGACCCTTGGTGCAATTCAATCCCTGCTCTCTGTGTGTTTCAGCCGGATGACTGATTTTACAGTAGGGCGCTGTCTTTCAGATTAAACGTTCAAGCGTTGTTGGTCCACTATGCCATACGGCCAATGTGCATGTTAAGTAATGCAGTATAATATATTAAATGCTTGCGGTACGCCATGTAGATAATTCTGAAAAGAACTGTTGTTTTTGTTGAGAATGTCTCGATGTTTCAATGGTCATCAGGGGAGTAATATTCTGATGACGATGGAAGCAACTCATTTAAAACATTGATATTCTCAACAAAAACAAAAATCCTTTTCAGAACTATCTACGTGGTGGGCTGCAAGAATTTAAATATATTATTACTTTGCCATGCAAACTTTCTAACAATACAATGCAGAATATTCTCCCAGTATACTGCCCATTTTACTACAAAAAAAATAGTTCCTTTGTTTATCTTATGTCTTCTTTATGATTGGTTATTAAATAGTAATTATTTAGTAACCAATAATAAAGAAGATAGACAAAGGGAATCTTTTCCAAAAGTGGAAGAGTATACTGCACAAATCAATAACAATAAATATTGTTGTTGAATTTTAGTGGGTTTTTTTTCTGTTTTACAGGTGGATGATGAGCAGGTCAAGCAAAAGAACCTAGACATTCGATGGATTGTGACCAATTAATCGTAGACATAGACAGTGTTTAGAAAAAAAAATGATGCTGGGCAGGAGAAAGCAGTAGATGGCAATGACGACAAGCACATATAGGAGTTTTTGATTCCTTTCTTTTTTAATTTATTAATATTTTTAGTGCCTGTTGAAATGTTTTCCATCTTGCTTGCCTGTTAGTTGCCATTGCAACAAGCAGTTGCTTGACCTCATTACCAAATGATGGAGTTTTGATGACCAATAATGTGTGGAGTCCTCTTTTTATATATAAAAGTGATTGATTTATAATACTTATTATTGGACAATTATCTTTTGTGTCTTTTCTTAGCTAAGTAATTTGTTCACTGTGTAAACATATTCCTACAAGCAGGTGATTACTATTTTAGATTTTCAGAATCATTTTCAAAATTAAATCCAAAGTAGCTAGTAAGCATAGAATCTGCCATTGTAGGGAGATGTAGTTTGAATGAAGTTGGGCTTTTCTATGATTTTTTTAATGTACGTACATATAAGTTACTACACCTGGTTTGTACCCATTTGTAATTGATATATACTGTTTGGCGGCCTACATATTATTAGAATTATTTTGTAGAAAGGCCTGTTTTGTATCAGGTCTCGATTAACCCATACTTAGTCTTTAAAATTAATAATTTTTTTATCATGTTGTAAGATGAGAACATTATCACTGATACAAATTTAAATATTAAAAAAAACGTTAATTGTCATTGTCTAACAATAGTTTTATGCTAAAATTATACAAATGATTGTCTGATATTTTTTTGCTAGACATTCCATTGAGTGATGAAAAAATAGATATACTGTAGATGAATTAACTTTTTAGGAAAAGAGGGCGTGGCTTTTTTAGGCACTGTATAGGCTAAAAGCACACAGTGGTGGTGGTGGTGGTATTGAATGTAACTTTTTGAAAAAAATTAGAATTTCAGATTACTGATAAGTGCACATATGCATAAATCTATGTATGTAGAATATATAATATCAGTATATATGTATTGTGATTTTAATGTTAACCTTTTTTCCTCAGCCCATTTTTCGCTTGGTTGCTTTTTTGTGCTAACAAGTATTTACTATAATGATATTGACAATTATTTTACCTAAAGTGCTTTTATTTGGTGCTTATGTATTATTGCTTTCTTTCACTCTCTTATCCTTTTCTATCCATCTCATTCATTTTTTTCTTTTCGCTTCTTGCTCTGCCTTCCAGATGAGCTGTTTATGGAGAAGGAGAAATCTCGACGGGTGGCTGATGAGTTGGATCAGACCCTGGCCGACTTGAACGCTATGTAAATCTTCATACTATCGACCCTGCTACTCGACAACCTTTCTCTATTTCTGTATCCCTCTGTTTATTATCTCTGCTTCCCTGTTAATAACGATGGAAGATTAAATTGTAATGAAATTCGCCATTTCTGGAGTATCAGCCTGTTCTGAACTTGAATGCTTATTTCTATCTTGAAATTTATTTATCTTATTTATTTTTTTTACTATTACACTCCAATGTGATGCTGTGTAGGGGGTAGGGATACCCTTCCTTCACGGTTCCCTACCCCCAGATGTAGTTAGACCCGAACATTGAATCAATTAAGTATACAAAAAAGGAGAGTTTGTCATGCAAAAATCATTAATGGGAAGGAGCGCATAAGGATCGCTATGGAAGAGTGTTGAATGACGACAAATGCTTTAGGTAGACTTAATGTGTAATTATATAGGCTTTAGTAGCACCCATAAGCAAAAAAAAGTGTAAAAATTTAAAAAAATGTATTAAAAATTATTGATACGTAGGCACTGCACATGAAATAATCATTATTGAAACGATAAAAAGACAATTGTATTTTTGGCAGTAAACTACAAACACATTGATCTTGGGTATCATAACATTTATCAGTATTACTGTACAAGAAAATTCAGTGAAATTCTGTTATTACAACAAATTATGACAGATTTTTGGGCAATATTTCAGAGGCTCGTAAACTGCTTCCATTTGTATTCACTACCGGTCGCATTATTTATGTATTTTGTTTTAAATGTTTAGTTTCCATGTTTCGACAGCTGATAATATAACAAAATTCCCTTTCCTAGTAAACGGGCCATGATTTGATTGGTTAGATTACATTAAGTATGGCATTATCAACCAATGACCAGCCTTGTCTGTGATGGTATAGTTACCACATGCATTCACGTTACTGCCAGTCATGTCGAAATTTTGAAAATTGTAGTCACTGTGCCAGGTCGCATTTGTATTTATACCACAACTATAATATATGATGATATTAGCTTGAATTACTTTTTATAATGTTTTTTCTTTATTCCAAAGATGTTAAGATTAGCTGTATATGAAGTTAGTTACAAATTCAGGCCTTGGATACGATTTTTCTTTCTATTTTTAAATTGATTTAATGCTATATTGATTTCTTAATAGTATTAACTGCTTGATCTCGTGCAGTGTTTTTTCGTCAGAAAAGAGTACAGTAGTAAGTTATATTTGGAACTATTGTAGACTATAGGCCTACCATGAATCTATGCTAGGAAACAACATTATCTATGTTTATAAAAATCCCTAGTTTCATTTTCGTTGTGAATCTTAACGAACGTTACATCGCCAGATGTTAGCGAGTAGGTTAAATGATAATCCTCCACGAAATCGCAACAAGATTGTATTTTATACATTATGTGATCTCATGGTTCGCATTATCATGTAGTCCATGTTTTCCCCGTACAATGAAGGATGAACCAACAGAGGGCATAAAATCTAGGTCCCTGTTTGTTCGTGTTAGCCTACACGACAGTCGCCCCGTTTGAGCAAACTAATAAAAGTAATAATTACATAATTGATTTGTCTTTGTTTTTGTTTAGCTGTTGTGTGGAGTTAGAGAATGAAAGAGCTTGTGTTGCCTGTATGAATATTTCCACCACTAGTGTATTGTGTATTAAAACTAATTATATAAATGTCCTAATTATATTTGTTATGAAGTCTATACTGTCTATTGTGAAATCTGCAAAAACAACCTCAATAAGTTACAAAATTTTAATACTGTATTACGCAGATTGAAATAGTTTTCCCTGATTTACATTTTAATACGAAAATTCCTATATCAGCCAGTTTGGTGATAGGAACAGAATTATCTATGGATGTCCTATATCATATATATATATATATATATTTATTTTACCATTTCAAGTTTACAAAGACGAACATAAAAATACAAAATGACTCGGCAGTACAGTACTTGGTAGGATTGCTCAAAAGAGGGCAGTGGTCATTTGTCTAGGAGCTCTCCAGTACCAACCGAAGAAACGGATGTAACAGAAATATTAAAATAATAATTTAACAACTTACTGGATATGTTAATTGGTGAGAAACATATTTTCTTATAATTTTGAATTGGAAATCTACTTTAAGGACGGTATATCACGGACATGTCCCCATATTCCCAGTGGTGGATTTAGAGGGGTATGTATGCGGCGCTTGTCTCCCCCTCCTATTTTCTACAAAAACAGTTAAATCCCAAACCAAAAATCTGACCCAGACACATACAAATAGTAAAGCAGCTTGTAGAAGTAGGTATAAGTAGTATGGTATAGTATAATCAAACATCAGAATTGCTGGGTTTTTTTTGTTTTTTTGTTTTTTTTGGGGGTTTGCCTCGCTCTTATTCGACCCTCAAATTATCTAACATAAAAAGCTGGATCCTTTCTTCATGATCATGGATGGTGAGGTGCTAATGGAAGACCTGTAGACCAAGGGAAGAGTTTTTATTATGGTCCAAAATGTGCTTTTAGATCATAATATTAGGGATTGGCAATCAAAATAACATTTATTTGAATAGGCAAATTATTATCTTTTTAATATTTTGATCCAACGACCTACAATAGTCGTTCATCTGACGACAGGTGGTCCAAGCCTGTCCGACGGGGAGGTGGAAATTCCGCCCCTTCCCCCAGCTGGCGCCACCACTGCAGATGATCACCCTCCAAAAAATTATTATGGTATCCTAGGCATATTATGTCTGTAATGTTAAACGAAGAATGATTTTGAAAGGAAATGCCTAGCACCGTACATTGAGGGAATGCAAGTGAATTTCTGGCAACGTTTATAATAAACGGGATTGTCGGGATGACAACACGTCGGGATGACAACATGACGCGCTACGGCGGTTTTGAAATGACGGAGGTTTTGAAATGACGGAGGTATGGCTGAATTTACCGAAATAGAAGGTGTGACTAAAATATTTGCATTGAATAAAAACATATCTAGGTAGACGTAGGCTAGTCATTTGCTCAACGAGTTAAATTAATGCACTTCTTGTCCCTTTTCCATGGCAAGGCCTAGACTAGGCCTAGGCCCCAGAGGCATAGGCCTCTCTAGCTTGGCTAGCCTACTCTACTACTGCTGGGCTTGGCCCAGCCAAGGTAGGCCTAGGCTAGGCCTGTATGACTCATGATTGGCCTAGCTTGGAGGCTAGGTTATAGTCGTAGGTGGTCCTTCACGTCTTCTGCTTTGGCTTTACCATGATATGTAGGCCTAGAGTCCCTTGCACAGTTTTAATTCTCAGCAAAATTTTATTCGCACAGTAACTACAAATTAACTAGGCTAGGCCTAGATTAGGATATTATGAATTTTTATTATTTTTAGGCAATTGTATTAATAATTATTATAATAATATAATTTTAGGCTAGGCCTAGTAGGTCCAGTGGTGGAGCCAGAGGGTCGGGGAAAACGAGTAAATTTTGTCGGGGAATAAACAAATAAAAAAAATATTTTATTTATATATGTAATGTTAGTTAACCACCATATTGTTTCATTAAACTTTTCATCACAATAATAATAATAATAATATTTCAATAAGACTAATTAAAAATAAATTGTGTTCATTTATGACAAATGCTCGTTTGGATAACCTCATGATGCTTGGAATACATCATGATAGGTGAGCAACCTCGACAGATTTCATGCAAAATTACCAAAATGTAGAATTTCACTTTCAAGAATGAGGATTTGAAAATAAATTAGATGGTTACATTGCATACTCTTTGTTTCTTGCTTTATTCAAAATGTTTGGTTTTGGAAGCTGATTTCGACATTAGAAAACGTAGCCTACATTATGTCATATATTATAGTAACTCGATGCCTATCAAATAAGTAATAAAAATTCGCCATAATCTGTCAAATATACCCGTGGCTTCCTCTGGCCCCCAACCAAGTGAGACTCGATTCGCTTCACCGGTATTCTTGATAATGATCAAATTGATTGAAATGTTGAATGTTTTTTTTCCTCTGGAGCATGGCTTTTATAGTTAGTACTTACCATTAAAAGAAAGTTCTTTCACTGATTTAGATGATACCATCACAATTGAAACGCTCAAAGCTGCTTCAGGGGAGTTTGATGTCACCAGCATCCATTACTTGGATCTCAAACAAAAAGGTACAATTTTCAAATATTCTCACAGCTGATAATGGTTTGGCAAAATGCATTGGCCACAAAGTTACATTCAAATTATAAATCTGAATACTAGAGTTCTTGGGGTCCTCTAAGTCTCAGACGACTTGCAGGAGTTTCCCAGAAATCAGCACTGCCAACCAAACAATACCCAGAACCTAAACCCATTTCCAGCAAATTGAGTTCTTGGGGTTCTCTAAGTCTCTGGCGAGTTGCAGACTTCCCAAGAAATTGACACAGCAAACCAAAAAATACCCAGAACCTCAACCCATTTCCAGCAAATTGAGAAGTTAGCTGGTCATGTGCATCATTAAACAAGATATCCAAGAAGTGGCTTTTCCCAACTTGGAACCCCTGGATTACTGTCTTCCATATGCTTACTTACTTGGTACTTGGTATTTGCCATTCCATGACAGGAATATCTGGCTGTCATTGACTGATAAACAGTTGACTAAATACACTGCTGATACACTTATTCAGAGAGAGATGGTGCTTTACAGTTGATTTATAATTAAGTGTCATTATTATTTAACTTAATTGACATACATGCTATTTATAGATGTTAATTAAAAATTAAAATTTTTTTATGGAGACAATTTCTGGTAATTGATGTCTAATCAGTCTCATTTGTATTCAACCCACTTGGCAGGCATCGTGAATCTCGGCTGTATTGGGCAGTGTGACAGCCTCGAAAGATTGGACGTTTCACGTAACAGTATTTCAATTCTGCTTCCACTTAATAATCTGAAGCAACTCACTGATCTAAATGTATCAGCAAATCAAATCAAAACCTTAGGTAAGTAAAGGATAATCTAGTGGCTATTAGGTAAGTAAAGGATAATCTAGTGGCTATTATTGTATATAAATATAGTGGAACTTTGGGACACCCCTATTAAGGGGACACTTTCGGCCACAAATCAAGGGAAAGTATATCTTTTAATACTACGGCCAATCCCTATTCAGGGGACACCCCTATTAAGGGGACACATTTTTTGGTCCCAAATGTGTCCCCTTAATAGGGGTTCTACTGTATTATGATTATATCATTTCATTATCATAATCAATAGGTATGATTTATTATAACTACTGTAATATTATTGACTCTTACAAAAAGTCAAATTTTTACATCATTGTTATTTTTTGTTATAAATTTATTTGATTTTACTAAAGGATTTTCTTGATAATAACTGCTGCAGTATTATTGATTCTGTTACAAATGAGTTTTATTTTAAAGCCAGGCTCTGGAGGAAAACAATTTTTTAATATGTTGAAGTTGAAAGTTGTCCAAATGATTTTTATTAGACAAATTTTCTAAATAATGTACTAGTATTCAAAAATCTCATTATTTCTGTTGATACATTCATTCCAAAGCAGTATTACTACTATTAGAAATGTATTTCATTGACTCTTCTCTTGCTTGGTTTATATATATATGTGTGAAATAATAATAATAATAGTTGTCAACTTAATGCATAATGTAAAATACCTCTATGCACTTTTCTGCAGGGAGTGGGATAAATTATTAAAATTTCACCTAATAAATAAATAAATGAATGAAAATCAACAATAATTATTATTACTATTAAATACTATTATGATGTTAATTTATGAATAATTTGAAAATACAGTAATTTCATTGATTTTTTTTATATGTACCTAATTGTTAAATATTTATTTTCTTGTCCTTATTACCTTACCTTTTTTCTTATTTTTTGTCTTTTCTTCCCTCTTCCTTTCTTACCACCTGTCTCTTTCTCATTACACTATTTACGAAGTATAAGGGAGCTTTCCTGGTGTACAATAGAAGACCATGGTATGTACTGCAGGTAAGCTGCCGCAGGTTCCTATATAACAAGAACAATTTACATTTACTTTCGATGCCCTTGTTTAGATAATTGAGCTGTGAAACTACGCTAGTACATTAACTTGCCTGTGTGAAGTGTCGATTCACTACCAAGATGATGTAATAATGGACTTTTCCACTAAGCCCCTCCCCTTGGATATTGTTGCCAAGGTCCCACAAAACAATAGCGTAAAACTTACATAAACGTGTGTTTGTTGCATAAGCGCGTATTCCTGACACTGTTCTGATTGGTCAATTGTTTCATTTGATTGACACTCCAGAAAAGTCAATTTGCCAGCTAATGGTTTAGGGTATTGAGATTATTGTCCACACAAATAATTCTTACTTTGCTAGAGCTAATTATTTAAACACCTGTATCTCAGTTTCATAGGATCTGTCTCTTATACACATCTAGATGTGTATAAGAGACAGATATCACAGTTGTTTTGTATTGTGGAAACTTGTGTCTACTTTCCTGTCGATATTTATTGTTTGGTTCAAATTTGTCAATTCTTCTATACATGTTTAAGTTGAGTACACCATTGCTTAGTACACAACATGTAGCTTTATTATATATTTGCAAATAGCAAGCATTGAGTGTAACAGGTTGTCAGTGGCTTTATAGACGTCACAGCCCAAAGATTTGACAATGGAAATACTGTACTGTTAACTGCCTTCACTCCATAAGGAGAATTCCTAGTTGTGCTACAATGCACAAATACGTTTAATGCCATATCCTTCCAGGTACCCTGGGTGGAAAAGGACAGATGTAGGAAACAAGCAAACAAAAGTGAAAATTGTTTTTATTGTTGAACATTCTTAACTGCTCCTATAGAGTTTAGATGAATTGACAGTAGTAAGCTAGGCACTCAATGAGGCTAACAGTCATCAGCCAACGCAATTCTATGCAGAAAGTAATGCGACAACGCAACAGATCGTTTTTAATGACGATCAGTTCAGACTGCTACCGACAATCAGCAGAGGGCGTCGCGTCATCTAGCGCTCACAGTTAGCAGAGTTAGGGGTCGTCGTGCGACGGATGTACGACTGTATTTACGACACATGAACAGATAAAATACACATGGAACAAGTTCATCGATGTTCTGTTGGATTTATTAACTAAAAAAAAATATACAGTACAAACAAAATGTCTAGTATCTCAAACAAGTGACCTATTTGTGGCAGAACCAATCCAAAGGAGGGATAAGTTGCACAGGCAGTTTTTTCTATGCTGTAAATGCACAAATGTGAAATCGGTCTTTTTTTGCGATTCTTTTTTTATCTCTAAAATATACATATTAAACATTTGGCTTGGCTCTGCCACATTTAAGAATATTCTATTTGACACAGTTTAAACAATATTTTATCTTAACAGACATCTTGGGTGAATGTCGTGAGATGAACATGAAGGCAGAAGCAAGTATTGCATTGACCATGGAGTCAATGAAGAACTAGATATGGCCAGCTAATAGTAATAAAGTCTAAAGGAACCTTTTAAGCTATTACTGTGTTATAAACAGCATTGCTTTTGTATATTCTGATGCACCCCCACCTGCATCACAAGATGATAATAATACACAGTTTTTCAAGATGTATTCTGCTGAAGAACCTCAGCCTCGGTGCTTCTTGCAATGCTTCCAAAATAAACCAAACACAGTCAAAAGTTAGAACAAATGATAGCCATATCTGAGCTACAAATAATGGGGTGATTTGCAGCGGCAAGGGATTTGACTTTGGAGTGAAAGAGACTTAAGTTTCAAAACCTGCTTGTGTCCTTATGTTAAAAGACACTCTGCTCTATCTTGCCCTTAAGTTGGATGTTAAGCCATTAGTCCCATGTGCATGAAAAATACCTCATTACACTATTCACGAAGTATAAGGGAGCTTTCCTGGTGTACAATAGAAGACCATGGTATGTACTGCAGGTAAGCTGCCGCAGGTTCCTATATAACAAGAACAATTTACATTTACTTTCGATGCCCTTGTTTAGATAATTGAGCTGTGAAACTACGCTAGTACATTACGTGCATTTTGATTTATCTTTCATGCTGTGATTTCCGGAATTCAAAGCGCATCACATGCGCATTATGTTGACCACCTAATTCACACCAAGAATTCGCAGGCATTTGATATGCTGTATGTTAACTTGCCTGTGTGAAGTGTCGATTCACTACCAAGATGATGTAATAATGGACTTTTCCACTAAGCCCCTCCCTTGGATATTGTTGCCAAGGTCCCACAAAACAATAGCGTAAAACTTACATAAACGTGTGTTTGTTGCATAAGCGCGTATTCCTGACACTGTTCTGATTGGTCAAGTGTTTCATTTGATTGACACTCCAGAAAAGTCAATTTGCCAGCTAATGGTTTAGGGTATTGAGATTATTATCCACACAAATAATTCTTATTTGCTAGAGCTAATTATTTAAACACCTGTATCTCAGTTTCATAGGATTGGTCAGTTGTTATTAAATTTGATTGACACCCCGGAAAAGTCAATTGCCAGGTAATGCTTAGGGTTTTGAGATTATTATCTACACCAGTAATTCTTACATTGCTAGAGCTAATCATGTATATCTCAGTTGTATATTTATGTTGTGAGCTAAATACCCAACATCTTTATCTCATTTTCATAGGTATATTATGAGCTAATTAGTATTTACATACGTACAGTTTTATAGTTACAGAGTGTAGTTAATTTTTGGCAATGTAATGCACCCTCTAGAGCATCCCTGGGTATAAAAACTATATAAAAAGGGAAGTTAAAAAAAACTTGGGTTTTATAAAGAATATTTTATTAAAAATGACTTAATTATTCAATCTTTCATATTTTTTTTAATTAATTTAAATGAGGATAAAATAATCTATAGAATTGAAGTTCCATGAAATAGAGAAAGGACAGCTGTTTTGTATGATTCAAATAATCTAAATTATGTATTGTTTTCTTAAATTGGTAATGCAAAATCATTTAAAATTGCTTTCCTTATTCATAAGACAAAGCATCATTGTCATTTAAAACATTAAAAATTCCAATATAATTAATACTATAATTACTGTACATTTTTTTTACAAGCATACCTATAATCACAATTATTACAGTTCACTGGTGTTAAGTTCCATTCCCTCTTCTCTCTGAAAGAGTACTATATAAAATGGTGACTGTTTGCGATCGTCATTTTATCTTTCCTTATAAAAGTGTACAAACACTGTTAACCTCTCCCCAACCCTTATATATTACTGTACATTTTTTTTACAAGCATACCTAAAATTACAATTATTACAGTTCACTGGTGTTAAGTTCCATTCCTTAGTTTGCGCGGTGTTCAGACAGTCTCTACAAAGAACGCCAGATAGTTCAATTCAAAATCCCATTACACCTCGTAACTTTGCTGGTCGTCTTCGTTTTCGTTCAGACCTTCGAACATTCTGAGATAAAGGCTGGGATTCCGATTGACTGAATAAATCAATACTCTGCTGGGAGAAGGGCTCCTGGGACTGGGGAGCTTGCGATGGCACTTCATTCTCCTCTTGCTGGGAGCTTGGAGGTCGTTGTGAAGGCCTGTCTGTGGTGTCTGTGTCAGGCAGACTTGTTCGCTTCCCTGTTGTCCCATGGACTTCTTGTTGGTGACTGACAGCTGTAGTTTGTCTGATAGATTTTCTTGGACTTGCACGTGTGATTGAGTCATTTTGCTGGGAATTTTAAGGGGAAAAAATAGGATCACGATAGGATTTGGCTACGTATGGGCAAATCACAGAAAATGTGATAAGTGTGGTCAGCAATATGTAATAATTATGTGCAAAAGACTGACTTAATAAATCAATAATCATTCTGTTAATAAAGCCATTCCAGCAGTCATTGAACATAGTGCAACAATACATGCAAAAGTATTACCTCATCATCAGGTCCCTTCCACAAGTTCCAAAGTGTACGCCCCACTTCATCCTCATTAGGACCTCCCGGCTTCACATACAAGTCGTCGGCGATTACGTCATCGACCTCCTCCTCATCCGAAATTTCCAGACTCTTCTTGGTTAGGACACATGCACCTGTATAATATTTTTCCAAGAGATTACAAGAGACATCTGGATGAAGGCCACATGCTGGACATTTTGATGGGGTTATGTGATCATAGTTTGTTCTGATTGGCTCTTGACAACAGAAGGGACATCCAGGGGCAGGTTCAACTTCTAAAAACATTTCTATTAAAATGCAATGAAAAAGGAGATGTTATTGGGTGAAATGAAAAATTAAGAAAATTATTAAAAACCTAAAATTCTCTTGACATGTACCAAGCCATCTTGCACCCACCCCTTCACTGAAATAATTTATGTAATTACAAAAACAATGACTAATTAACTATAACTAGGCTAATTTGTTAATTGCTCATCTAGGACACCTCACCCTGGACTAGATCTGAGGCATCTGTTTCTTTTAAATCTGCCAGGCATCCATCATTTGATGGCTTTTTCTGGTAGTCAGCTGTCAGGGCATCCAACCAGTCATAGCACTTGTTAATTGAAGCCTCGTTCAGTTCAATCTTCGGACATCCAGGTCCCACATTTTGAGTTTTATCCAATGCCAGTTGATGACTATGGGAGATATATGTCTGGTAAAACACATCACCAATTGAATTTGTCTATAGGTAAAAAAAAAATAAGACATTAAAAATATCAACCCTAATATTTCGTAATATCAAATCAATTCTAATTCATTCATATCTATTGAGAAAAGAGAAAGCTCTTGAATATTGTTAGCAATTAAATATTAAATAGGACTGCAACTAAAAGGGTTTCCTAGGGATATTGAATTTTTAATTATTTTTAAGGTAAGGAGTGTTCAAAACATGCTCTTCTTTATGACCCTAACCCCTCTTCTCTAGTAGAGGGGGTGGGGGTATAATATATAAAATAGTGACTGTTTGCAATCGTCATTTTATCTTTCCTTATAAAAGTTTACAAACACTGTTAACCTCTCCCCAACCCTAATATATGTTTGTTTCTGTACTCATGCGAAAATGATAATGGATTTCGAAAATTGTAATGGATGGTCTCTAAAACATACAACCATAACTATGTTGTGTTTCAAAAACTCTAAAATATCTGTTAAGAGTTTACAAACCATAAGAATAGTGAATCCTGGGTGTTCTGGGGACTGGTGTTCGATGGTGGAAACTCCGATGAATGGCTTTTGTAGTCGCTTATTAGCTGCAACAAGAACATTGCTTGGCGATGGTAGGGAAGGCAAAAGAGATAACCAACCACTAGAGGGAGTAAATCAACATCATTATCACCACAATCTTACCATCATATTAACATCAAATTTTCATGACTGACAAGCTACCATCATCACCACAACAATAATTATCACTTTACCATCACCACCATCATTATAATTGCCATCTTACCATCATTATAATAGTACACTACTGTATCACCATCATAACCAACATTATCATTTTACCATCACCAATAACATCAAAATCTTCACATCACCACTAACCTAGCATCACCACTAATTGTTATCACCACCTGTACAGGACAACTTACATGACGGAAGCTACTTTCCAAGCTGATCCGACAGCACTTGGTGGCTTTGATTTCTTGACTAAAGTAAAACAATCATAATTAATATGAACATATTTAATGTACATTTTTAGTATCAAATGCATTTTTAAAATATTCATGCGCAAGTACAGGAAATATACTGTAAATAATTATATATCACTGATGACTATCATCATTATCAATATCACAACTACCATAATCATAACCACCACCATTGTTATCACTGTAACAATCATCATTTTAATCATAATTAAAAACATACCATAAACAACATTATCAACATTGTCATGAAAGTTTCCACACACCTTCAAATTGGAAGCAATGTGCTTCACAAGAACCATATGATGCTACAACAACAATATGGTCGCCAACTGCTGGTGCAAAAATATCCATACAGATTGGAGGCATCTTTAGAAGATGGTTCCATTCCAACACCTTGATAAGGAGCATAAGAAAAAAAATATAAAGATATATACAGTATGTAGAAATCTTTTTTTTAAATCTAAGGGACAAAGAATTATGCATTTTGGAGAG